AAGGGAGCTGGGGAAATAAAAGCCTTGTCTTCAATTTCTCCCTCCCTTAATCTCGCTCCCCATGGACCAAACCCAGTGAGAAATCAAGGGGCAAGAGAGGCTTGACTAGTCCATTCTAGGGCATTGCACAGGGTGGAAAAGGGTGTAGAGTGTATCTGGGAGGTGGGAGGGGCGAATGAAAGATAGCCAGCATAACATGCAGTCTTGCTTCTACCAGTATATAGTTTGCATTTCTGGAGCACTTATTCTATGCCAAGTATGTTCACTATCTCACTGCATCATCCTGTGAGCCCATTTTCTCCATTTGACAGATAAGGAAACTGACTGGTGAATCGGCAAGAGGAATGGAGGTATGGACAACTGAGCTGACATTTGCCTCTCTGGGATCTCGTGTTTGATAGTTCTTCTGTGGATGTTTGTGGGGTGAAAGAATGAAAGAGGAGCACATAAGAGGCCAGATTCGATGGAGACTTGCCCTGAAGCTCCATAGCTGTGCCTCTTCTCTGCAGGATAGGGGCATGGCTGTCAGTGTCTCTCCTTCCACTTTGTGATAAGCCAGGCTATTGAGGTTAAAAGAGTAGGTATATAGATAAAAAAAAAAAACAAAAAAAAACCTTGGACATTTTGCCTTTTCCGTAGAGGATAGTGTTGGAGTTAAAAGCATTTCTCTTTCTGCAGCCATCTTTCCCCGCCCCCTGATTTCTGGTTCCCCCACAGTCTGGGCAGGAGCCCAGGTGCTGCCTCTCATCCCTGCTCAACTCCCACGCTCCGCCCACAAGCTCGATTCTGCTAATTGCATCGCTGTGCCGCTCCTGGAATACAGTGTTGTTGGGGAACAAACTAAAGACCAATGGGGAGTATTTTACCAGCACCCCTAAAGTGGCCTGCCATGGAGCAGAACCTCAGCTCAGAGGCTCTGGGTTCTTTCCTGCAGGCACCTCTTCCGTCACCACCCACCCCCACTTCAGAACCCCCTTTAATGGCCTCTTCCTTCCTCAAGGGTCCCCCAAAGTCTTTGATTTGTTGTTCATCGTCCCAGCACCTCAGACATGGAGACAGAACCTGACATTCAGTGATGACCCACCATGTGCCTGATGCTGCCAGATGCTCCTAGCCATGATCTCATTTCATTTCTTAGTGATCTACTCAGTAGAAAGTATCAGGGAGGGACCTTGCAGAAAAGCAAGACTCTGGTTAGGTAACATGTTCAAGATCACACAGCTCTTTTTTTTTTTTTTAATGTATTTTTATTGTGGTAAAAGTCACATAAAACATATGTTTTAACCATATTTAACTGTACAATTCAGTGGCATAAGTACATTCACATTGTTGTGCAGCTCTCACCATCAGCCCTCTCCCAAAGTTTTCGCCTTCCTAAACTGAAACTGTCCCCATTAAACACTAACTCCCCATCCCCCTCTGCCATCCCCAGGCACGGCATTTACCAGTGTACTTTCTGACTATTCTATGTATCTCACACACATGAAATAAACAGTAGTTGTATGGATCTACTGTATATTGGAATACATTTTTAGGGTTAACTTAGTATGTTCTACAAGCAGGTTATACCTTCTTTTTTTCCCCTGTGTGCTATACAATAGGTTCTCATTAGTTATCTGTTATATGAAAGACCCTGATGCTGGAAAAGATTGAGGTCAAGAGAAGGGAGTGATAGAGGATGAGATGATTGGATGACATCACTGACTCAATGGACACGAATATGAGCAAACTCTGGGAGATAGTGAAGGACAGGGAAGCCTGGCGTGTTGCAGTCCATGAGGTTGCAAAGAGTCAGACACGACTTAGGGACTGAACAATGATACATAGGAGGGGCTTTCCCAGGTGGCGCTAGTGGTTAAGAACTCACCTGCCAATGCAGGAACATAGTTGCTGGTTCTATCTTTAGGTGGGGAAGATGCCCTGGAGGAGGGCACAGAAACCCACTCCAGTATACTTGCCTGGAGAATTCCACATGGACAGAGGAGCCTGGCAGGCTACAGTCCATGGGGTCGCAAAAAAGACACAACTGAAGTGGCTGATTATGCACATACATAGTAGGACCATACAGCTGTTAAGGCAGGGGAACCTAGTAGGCTACAGTCCACAGAGTCGCAAAGAGTCGGACACGACTGAAGTGACTTAGCACACATACACGTATGCAGGGTCCATGGATCCTTCCCTAGTCCTGTGCTGCTGATGTCTCCATGTGGAGGGCACTGCCACTTCTGAATGGCAAGTTCCCTGTTCTCTAGAGCCCAGCTCAGGTGCCACTCCCTTCAAACTCACCTGTAGATCCCCAAACTCACTTTGGTGAGCCTCCCCTGGAAGACTTATCACATTACTCTTGTCTGCATGAAAGTGAAGATGCAACTTTCTTTGCTGGGGACAGGGATTATATTGCAGGATTTGAATTTTCAGTTCCTAACAGAGGACCTTATACATGGTAAGCCAGCAGTGAATGAGTGCATCTGGGGAGCTCTCTTTCCTCCTTTAAAAAAAAAAAAAAAAAATTTGCCCATGCCATGCAGTATGTGAAATCTTAGTTCCTAAACCCAAGCCCCCTGCATTGGAAACACAGAGTCTTAACCACTGGACTGCCAGGGAAGTCCACATCAGCGGAGCTTTTTGTGGTGAAAATAGTTAAGTGAAGCTTCATCCCTCAACTTTACATGCTCACTTTGCTCGAAACAACGCTCCTGGAATACAGTGTTGTTGGGGAACAAACTAAAGACCAATGGGGAGTATTTTACCAGCACCCCTAAAGTGGCCTGCCATGGAGCAGAACCTCAGCTCAGAGGCTCTGGGTTCTTTCCTGCAGGCACCTCTTCCGTCACCACCCACCCCCACTTCAGAACCCCCTTTAATGGCCTCTTCCTTCCTCAAGGGTCCCCCAAAGTCTTTGATTTGTTGTTCATCGTCCCAGCACCTCAGACATGGAGACAGAACCTGACATTCAGTGATGACCCACCATGTGCCTGATGCTGCCAGATGCTCCTAGCCATGATCTCATTTCATTTCTTAGTGATCTACTCAGTAGAAAGTATCAGGGAGGGACCTTGCAGAAAAGCAAGACTCTGGTTAGGTAACATGTTCAAGATCACACAGCTCTTTTTTTTTTTTTTTAATGTATTTTTATTGTGGTAAAAGTCACATAAAACATATGTTTTAACCATATTTAACTGTACAATTCAGTGGCATAAGTACATTCACATTGTTGTGCAGCTCTCACCATCAGCCCTCTCCCAAAGTTTTCGCCTTCCTAAACTGAAACTGTCCCCATTAAACACTAACTCCCCATCCCCCTCTGCCATCCCCAGGCACGGCATTTACCAGTGTACTTTCTGACTATTCTATGTATCTCACACACATGAAATAAACAGTAGTTGTATGCATCTACTGTATATTGGAATACATTTTTAGGGTTAACTTAGTATGTTCTACAAGCAGGTTATACCTTCTTTTTTTCCCCTGTGTGCTATACAATAGGTTCTCATTAGTTATCTGTTATATGAAAGACCCTGATGCTGGAAAAGATTGAGGTCAAGAGAAGGGAGTGATAGAGGATGAGATGATTGGATGACATCACTGACTCAATGGACACGAATATGAGCAAACTCTGGGAGATAGTGAAGGACAGGGAAGCCTGGCGTGTTGCAGTCCATGAGGTTGCAAAGAGTCAGACACGACTTAGGGACTGAACAATGATACATAGGAGGGGCTTTCCCAGGTGGCGCTAGTGGTTAAGAACTCACCTGCCAATGCAGGAACATAGTTGCTGGTTCTATCTTTAGGTGGGGAAGATGCCCTGGAGGAGGGCACAGAAACCCACTCCAGTATCCTTGCCTGGAGAATTCCACATGGACAGAGGAGCCTGGCAGGCTACAGTCCATGGGGTCGCAAAAAAGACACAACTGAAGTGGCTGATTATGCACATACATAGTAGGACCATACAGCTGTTAAGGCAGGGGAACCTAGTAGGCTACAGTCCACAGAGTCGCAAAGAGTCGGACACGACTGAAGTGACTTAGCACACATACACGTATGCAGGGTCCATGGATCCTTCCCTAGTCCTGTGCTGCTGATGTCTCCATGTGGAGGGCACTGCCACTTCTGAATGGCAAGTTCCCTGTTCTCTAGAGCCCAGCTCAGGTGCCACTCCCTTCAAACTCACCTGTAGATCCCCAAACTCACTTTGGTGAGCCTCCCCTGGAAGACTTATCACATTACTCTTGTCTGCATGAAAGTGAAGATGCAACTTTCTTTGCTGGGGACAGGGATTATATTGCAGTAGGATTTGAATTTTCAGTTCCTAACAGAGGACCTTATACATGGTAAGCCAGCAGTGAATGAGTGCATCTGGGGAGCTCTCTTTCCTCCTTTAAAAAAAAAAAAAAAAAATTTGCCCATGCCATGCAGTATGTGAAATCTTAGTTCCTAAACCCAAGCCCCCTGCATTGGAAACACAGAGTCTTAACCACTGGACTGCCAGGGAAGTCCACATCAGCGGAGCTTTTTGTGGTGAAAATAGTTAAGTGAAGCTTCATCCCTCAACTTTACATGCTCACTTTGCTCGAAACAAGATTCAGCTGTATAAAGTAATTAGCCTCCAACTAATAAAAATAAATGAAAAAAAAAAAAAAGAATCAGCTGTAAAACAAATGTCATGGTTGCGTTTGAGGGATGGGTAGTGGAGGATGTGTTCCTCAAGTATTTTAATTCTCCAACCAGGGATCAAACCCATGCCCCGTGCAGTATAGATTACCCAAGGTGAAGGTCGCTAAGTCATGTCCGACTCTTTGCGACCTTAGGGACTATACAGTCCATAGAATTCTGCAGGCCAGAATACTGGAGTGGGTAGCCTTTTCCCTTCTTCAGGGGATCTGCCTAAGCCGGGGATTGAATCCAGGTCTCCCACATTGCAGGCGGATTCTTTACCAGCTGAGCCACAAGGGAAGCAGTGTAAATGCAGATTCTTAACCACTGGACTGCCAGGGAAGTCCCTTAGGGAAGCTTTGAATTAATTTGAGAAAATGAAGACACACCAATGAGGGCAGGCAGTGGAGAATAGGCTGCTTAGTCTCTCCAGGTGGGTGGTGACCTGAGTCCGTTGACCTTTATCAGGGGCTGCAGCTTTTCTGAGCCCATTCCCTGCATCCCTGAGTCCCTATAGGTTGGCTCCTTTGGGTAGAGGCCATCACTCCCGCTTTCATCACCAGGGGTGGCGGGACCTTGTCCACAATGGCAGCCCTCCCTCCTTGGATCAGAGTTGGCTCAGAGCACCCATTTCCTGTATCACCAAAGACAGGCAGATGCTGAGGCCCTTGAGCGGAGAATGAGCGTGGGCTGCGATGACTTGCCTGCTCTACCACCGCCTCCAGCTAGATTCAGAGCCCCTCGGCAACACAACAGTTCCCCAGGATGGGCACGGAGGCTCTCCTTACAGATGGCAGCTTGGGCTCCTGCTTCTGCCAATGTCTGTCGCTGCCCCAGGGTTTCTAAGTCCAGGTCAGTGAGGAGCATCCAACTGGATGGGCACAGAAAATGGAAGAGGCAGCCTAGGAGGAGACCCCTGATCTAGACATCAGACAGCCTAGATTTTTAACTGGGCTCTGCCAGGAGCTCACCGTGTGTTTATAAAGGGAAGGGCTCATTCTTTATAAATGAACGGGGTTTTTTTGACCACTTACTACAAATACATCAGGAATACACCTTCAGACACAGAAGTGCATGCAGAACACCAGCTGAGACTGGACAGGAGTACCTGATCAGCAGAAAAGAATATCTAGAACCACGCAAAACTCAGTAGGATGAAGGAACTAGGGTGAAAAACAGAAATGTTAGTAGGACACTAACTAGCAACTGGTGTGCTAGCGAGTAGGGCTGTGAGAAGTCAAAACCCATCCCCACCTCTATGGTCTCAGAGTCTCCATAAATCAGTACAAATCAGGGTCATAAATGCTATGCAGAAGCGTATATATATTGAGGTTTCCCCCCCAACTTTATTTTTTTAAAATTAATTCGTTATGGCTGCACTGGGTCTTCACTGTTGCATGCAGGCTTTCTCTAGTTGTGGTTTGAGAGGTTCTTATTGTGGTGGCTTCTCTTACTGTGGGGCATGGATTCTAGGGTACATGGGCTTCAGTAGTTGTGGCTCCAGGGCTCTAGAGCACAGGCTCAGTAGTTGTGGTACACAGGCTTAGCTGCCCCGCTGCATGTGGGATCTTCCCAGACCAGGGATCAAATCCACGTCCCCTGCATTGGCAGATGGATTCTTAAGTATTGGACCACCAGGTAGGTCTGCAGAGGTATTTTTGGAACATAGAAGAGCAACTAATTCATCCTTCTTGGGAAAGTGAGGGGGCGATTTAACTGAGGAGTTGGCACCTTGGCTGGACCTCGACATTTCAATTCTCCTGGCAGATGGCAATAAATTTATTGCATCTTTGGAGAATGTTGTGCAGTGTTTTGTCAGTGGAATGAGGTCAGTGGGATGTGGAAAGGCATAGAGTAAAGATGGAATATTGTATATGAAGGTCTACCTGGGTCTGGAACATCTGCTGGAGGAGGGTATGTCAACCCACTCCAGTATTCTTGCCTGGAGAATCCCCATGGACAGAGGAACCTGGTGGGCTACAGTTAATGGGATTGCAAAGAGTCGAACACGACTGAAGCGACTTAGCACTACCTGTGTTTAACAGAGAGAGGCCTCTTTAGGCCATATGGACTTTGGACTTTAACCTGAAGGTTGAGGAGCAATTTGAATGGACTATTGCAGAAAGTCCACAACTTGGAAGATGGATTGGCAGCATCAAAGATGAAGACTGATGCTGGGTGGAAGTGGCTTCTACTGTGACAGGAAGGAATGTTTGAGGACCTCAACTGTGGGCTCAGAGAAGGGGGTCGGACTAGATAATCCCTAAACCACCTAGGCCTTTGGTCTCTTTTGCCCATTTTGTGCCCCACCCTGTTCCTATTTGGTCTCCTTGATGGACCATCTCCCTGGGGGGATGGAGTAGCTCATGATACATCTCCTTGCCAGGGGGACTTGTTTGAATTTTGACCCTATCTGATGTCCCTGTTTGTCATTCTTGTCCACTCAGCACTTCAGAGGAGACCACCTCGTAGAAAGCTGTATTCTGCTTTGGGGTCCTTTCCACCCCCACCCCCATTGGGCCGGGATTCCGCTCTCCCCCCTGGACTCGGATCCCGGGCCCCCCAATCTGGCAGTGGCAACCCTACCATCCTTCCCGTTACTCTTCCCAAAAGGAAGGAGGAGACCCCATGTCTCCTTGGAAGATGTTGACAAGCAGGAACTAGGAAAACAGATTAGGGGAATCTTGGGACCTTGGTCTGAGAGAGCAGAAGGTGAAATACTGGAAATGCAGGGTTGTCCCACAGAATGATTCAAGCCCCTTGATTTTAATATATCTCAGTTCTATAAAAGGCAGTCCTAAAACCAGAAGTATATGTCTACTCTTAATCCCTTCTCTGTTATATTAGATGAGGGTTACATATGTACCCTTTCTTGCTCTCCTCATCTTTGAAACTGTCATCCTATGATTCTTGGGCCTGTAGACTTCAGCAGGGGCTTCCCTGGTGGCTCAGATCATAAAGAAGTCACCTGCCAATGCAGAAACACAGGTTTGATCCCTGGGTCAGGAAGAGCCCCTGGAGAAAGAAACGGTAACCCACTCCAGTATTCTTGCCTGGGAAACCCCATGGACAGAGGAGCCTGGTGGGCCACAGTCTGTGTGGCCACAAAAGAAGACATGACTGAGCAACTAACAACAAGATTCCCACACAGAGGTTTTGAGTACCTGCCTGCTCTGTGCCAGCTTCACGATGGCAAGGGTAGGATACAGACACCCCCTGGCTGTGTTCACAAGGAGTCAGGAGACTGGTGTTTTAATCTAGTTGGGAAAGCAAACCAGACATAGAAAACAGAAAAGTTGAGTGGTTAAGGGCAGTTAAGATCAGGTGGGACATGACACAGGCACCTTGGGACCTGAGAAAAGAAGGAGCAGGTCGTCTGGGTCTCTTGGCTTCCCTCAAGCTGGGGCAAGATCCAGCCAGATCTAGCTGGAGGCCTGACTGAGCTGGACGGCCCCTAGCCTCAGGGTGACGTGGGGGCTGAGCAGACTTCACACTGTTCTCACACAGGGCTCCGTCCCTGTTGCCCAAATGTTCATGCTGTTTCTGCTTTAACTGTATGTCTTACCGGAAATCTTTTAGTATCTTCATAGAAAAAAGTTGCCTAGTGGGCTTCCCTGGTGATCCAGTGGTTAAGACTCCATCTTGCAATGCAAAGGACACCAGTTCGATCCTGACTGCACACGCTGCAGAGCAATTAAGCCTCCTGAGCCACAACTACTGAAGCCCACACGCCTAGAGCCCGAGCACCACAACAAAGAGTAACCCCCTCTTGCCGCAACTAGAGAAAGCTCGAGTGCAGCAACAAAGACCCAGTGNTTAGTCCTGGATTTGGAACTAAGATCCTGCAAACCATTTGGCATAGCCAAAAATACAAATAAAAAAGAAAGGTTAAAAAAAAAAAAAAAAGAAATGTCACTATAAGTTGGACTTGTATGGACACACAAGAAAAGGATGTTCAATTGTCTCTTGGTCCTGACCCTCAGGACCAAAGGGACAGAAGTAGGGTATGTGTGCTAAGAATGCCTTTGCTTAGGTTATTAAAAGAGTTTGGGAATCAGAAGAGTTAGGGGTTGATTCGGAGCCAGCCTTCTTAGAATCAGTCAGTGTGTTCGCCGCTCAGTCGTGTCTGAGGATTCTTTACTGTCTGAGCCACCATTATATTTGCTTTATTAACCTTATGGGATTGTTCTTTGAACCAAATGAGATAAGAAACATGTGAGTTCCTCGAAAACTCTTAAGTTTGGAGAGTTTTGATAGTTACTGGACTATCAGTCATCCTTGTATCTTCCTCTTACTCCTGATCCTTAATTTTCTTTCATTCTTTCAATAACAAAATTCTCAAAAGAGCAGTCACTAAGGCCAGCTGGGAAGAGCTCAGCTAGTCTCCCTTTGAGTTCCCATTTAGGCCCAAAGACTAGAGGTAAGATGGTAGAAAGGGAATAAACATGGATTTTTGGCTTCTAAACTAGTTGACCTTGGGTAAATAGCCTCAACTCTCAGAGCCTCAGTTTCCTCATCTGTGAAGTGGAGATGGTGGATCATTGGTAAAGAATCCGCCTGCAATGCAGGAGATGCAGGTTCAATCCCTGGATCAGGAAGATCCCCTGGAGAAAGAAATGGCAACCCACTGCAGTATTCTTGCCTGAAAAATCCCATGAACAGAGGAGTCTGGTGGGGTTGAAAAAGAGTCAGACAGGACTTAGTGACTAAAAAAAAAAGGTAGAGATAATAATCTTTACCCCACCCACTTCCTAGGGCTCCTGGGAGGGTCAGATGAGACAATGAACAGGACAGTGCCTTGTAAACTGTAAGTGAAAGTAACAGTGAAGTCGCTCAGTTGTGTCCGACTCTTTTTCCACACTATGGACTGTAGCCCGCCAGGCTCCTCCTCCGTCCATGGGATTTTCCAGGCAAGAATACTGGAGTTGGTTGCCATTTTCTTCTCCAGGGGATCTTCCTGACCCAAGGATCGAACTCAGGTGTCCCACATTGCAGGCAGACTCTTTGCCATCTGAGTCACCAGGGAATTCCCACCAGGGAATCCCACCAGGATTCCCACCAGGAATCCCAAAGGTCTGTTCAAATGCCATGGATTTACTTTTTAATCTGTGCTTGAGGGCTCTGGATGAAATTTGCCAAGACTGTTGCACAGTGATTATTTAGACAGTGACATCACTGCCCATGGGAGTCGAGGGTGAGGTACAGAAGGTGGGCCAGAATCCCAGGGGTGGGTCGAGTGCAGAAGGGACCCCACCCACTGCCTCCCCAGAGCAGACCTGGGTTTGCCCCCCACTCATTTTAACAACCTGAAAAAATTTAGTCTCCTGGTCTCCAAACTGTCAAAGACTGCCACAACCTCTGTGCTCAGGGGAGACCTGGATTCAAGTTCAAGGGTTGGAACCACTGATCTGATTCTCTGTCTCCAGGGTCTTA